ACAGTCTGACTGACTTTGTTTATATAGCGGCAAATGCATATTTAGGACTCTCTACTTGTTATCTAGCAAGGTGTTACCTGTGCCAGGGTGGCAACCCTTAATAGTCCTACATCCTGGATGTACTCTGACATAAGCTGCAGGGCACAGTCCCTGATATAGACAGGATTTCAGAAACCACTTGGCGCTCTGTGTTGGCTGGTGTTTGCTTCCTTTTCTGTTTGCTCTAACTGGTTCTCTGACACGTCAGCGCTCATCAACCCTCCATGTTCTGTACTGTATGTTTTGGATCAAGTTCCCTGCTCAAAAGTTGCCAGATAGGCTATTGTAGAACAGATTGTACACTACCACAAGCTAACAATAATATCACACAGGTTGTGATTTATTTTTTTGGTGCAAGTGTGTTAATTTTCGATGCAGCCTTCTTTTGGCCCCAAGCAGAGATGGAAGAGTAGGGAGCAAAGGTGAGAGAGTCACTTGGGGGATGGGAGAAATAAATCAATGACTTCGCTGTAGTCACTGCTGCACCGCAACACCAGAGTGTGTGTCAGTGTGTTGGCTTTAGACAAAATGAATTACACAAACCGTACGTGATGTTTTAAAAGAAAGTTGCGTTTGTGGACGAGAAAGCATTACAGACACGACAGTTTCCAATTCACGAGTGTGTCATAAGAGGCACGAGGAGCCAGAACCAAACTACTTTTGTTTATTTCAGGAGCGTGAGCAGAAGCAGAAGCTGCTGGACCCAAACCCAGTTCGCGTTTCCCAGCGGTTCTCTCAAAATCACATAAAACATGAGGAGAGGGTGAGTGTTTGTCTGTGCTATGCTTTTTAGGTAGTTTTACATGCACGACCTGATATCCTCGTGTTGGTGTTGTTCCCAGATCATCATACTAAAGGTTGTTCCAGGATCAACATTGCAAGTGACCAATCAGAATGTTGTGATGTCATACGGCGTAAAACAAAAAACTGTACTTAAGCTGCGAGAAACCGCCTTTGTCCGCCAATTAATGGACCCTGACCCTAACCCTTTAATAAACGCTAAGCAGAATTGATATTGTCCTTGCAACATTGGAATTTCATAAATGCAAGAATGGGTTGGTGCACAAAAGAATAACGTCACAATAATGTGATTGGTCACTTGCAATGTTGAACCTGGAACAACATTTTCATGATGATCTGGGAACAACACCAACACGAGGATATCAGATCATCCAGTGTTACACACCTAACAATGTCCGAATAAGCTGATTTATTTAGCAACACAACGGGCATGTCATCCACTTATCTGGTTTTTAGTGCAGGACATTCCAGTACAGCACATGTTTGTACATGTGCTGTGTACATTTATTCTCTCTGCTGCATATGTTGGTTTAGGGTCTTTTATGTACAGAGGCGTGTAGTTTTCTATACGTCTAGCTTTCCTGGTGTGAGAGAAGAGTAGACTAATAGACTTTGTGGGTTTGTGCATCCAGGATAATCTCAAGGCCGGAATGGAGGAGGAGGAGGAGAAGAAAAAAGACGAAGAGCTGGACAGGCAGGTCCTGCTGGCCGAGCAGAGACGAGAAGAGGAAAGGCTTCTGCAGGAAGAACGGCAGAGAGAGAAGCTAGAGAAGATCAAAGCTGTGGAGGGTAAGATGGTAGCACACTGCCAAGATGTTTGAA